GTGTGACCTAAAGTTGAGAGAAGGGGGGGGGGGGTTTAAAGGTAAAGGAAGGCAAAAAGGTTAAGTATAGGTTTCATTACATAAAATGATTCTTTTGTGAATTCCATCTGGGCATTTCATCTTTCATCGGTGATCCAAAATTACCAAAGATGGTCAATAACATGTATTCAAAGATGACCACCTTCATTAGTTTTTGTTTGTACAAGAGTATCAATATTGCATTAGAGTGAGCCTTAGAAAATGCCTTAGGAACTTATAAGATCTTTTTTTTTCAACCATTGGGATGTAAAATGTCACTGAATTCAATGTAAAAACAGTGTTGGTATTGCCCAATGGACCATAAAGTTTGAAAGAATAAGAACTTGCAAGAGATTGTTAGATTTAGTTACATTTATCTTTAACCTATCTCCTTTTCAATTTCCAATGTTACTTTCAGGCTCTTGTGATCTTGTGATGTCATTCTTTAAAAACAATGACAAACTCCTAATAACAACAACAGGAAACCTATCTTACTCTTTGGTTGGTGGGAGATATTGAAAAATATAAAAATAAAAGAGCCACCCATCAATAGTTTGCCTCACGAAATAACTGCTATTAATATTTTCTTGTATTTCTGACCATTTCCTGTGCAATTCTATTTCATAGTTAGATTTTGTGTATGCGGTTTTGTATCTTTCGGGCATGTGCTAGCCTAGAACACTTTTAGTCATGGTTTCCCATCACTTTTCTGGCCAGTGGAACTGTATATATTCCTTGTCCTGCTGGAAAGTAGAATTTGAAAAAGTAAACTCTGCAAAGTCTCCTTCTGAAGGAGACACTTAAGTGGGTGATCCAGGTGCATGTCTGTTCTTTATCTCAGGCTGGAATGGCTCTAGGGACCTATACCACAGATTTATCCTCTATAATTGCCCCCGTTTATTTGATTCTCCTCTAAACTTTAAATTCTGAAAGCAAGACTGTATACACATTTCTACCCCAGGACCAGCCTATGACCCTTTATGTAAAAAATTCTAGTATATTTTTGGAGATTGGATGAATGAAAGGAAAAGGAAACACTACAATTCTAGAGAATCCGTAACTCATCAAGCCTTCTCCTTAGTATCAGGATGTGTGCATCTGGATTAAACTTCCCAGAAGTAAAATGTAGATTTGGATTTGTTGTGAACGAGTAGGGAAAGACAGGAATTGATCATCAGTGGAGCATCCCCTATAGACCCTGAACTCCTGACTCTACCTACGATTCCTACTGTGCTTTAATGCTTAAATTTGGCTGTCCACAAATATTTATAGAAAATTAATTTCAACTCTTTCCTCATTTAATAATCTTTGTAACATCTAGGCCACTGCTGACTACATTTTGGAAATGGTGGCATTCCCATATTTGGCACGCCTATAGGCTTGGTCCCACCACAGGGACATTGTTAAAGAACTAAAACCATACATGTCCTATTGGAGAAAGTATTGGATCACTTGAGGGACATTAATAACAAGCTTACAGCTAATGAGAGAGAGAGAGCGAGAGAGCGAGAGCGAGAGCGAGAGAGAGAGAGAGAGAGAGAGAGAGGCAGAGAACCATTCCAGAGATGTCAGTTTGAAAGAAGACAGAAGAAAGCACAGACAGTGGTCTTGCTCCTGATGAGCCTCCTTATCCTCTCCAGCTTTGGCAGATCTTGGATCTCATCTCATTCAAACAAAACTGATAACGAACTGAGACATCCTCTGTAAGTAGACGGAAACTGTTTTCTCTCTCGGCAATTTATATTTGGTCAAGATGCAATTGGTCATATGGTTTTGAGGCAGTGTGCTGTGTACTGCTCTCTCTGCAAATGCAATTTTACAACATTTTGCGTGTGTTTTTAGAAAAACAAGTTTAATTCCTATTAATTACAGTGTGAAGTTGAATGTGTGAAGCTCTGATTCACCTTATTTGCATAAAGAGAGCAGCACGACATGTTGAGTGCCTTCAAGTACCCGAAACTGCTAAGTTCATTACATACATTATCTAAGGTCGGAGAAGAGGCAGGCAAAGACCAGATCACATAAGTCATCCAAAGGATCGGGAACTGTATTCTATGGGCAATGGAAAGCCAATGGAAATTTTAGGCCAGAAAATAAAAATAAAAATAGAAATGGCTAAAATGTGAAATATAAGAATACATTAATATACTGTTTAATTAATGTACTGTGTTCTGGAATGTGCTCTAATATGCAGTAATCCAATAATATAAGTATATATATGACAAAAGTATCTAGATTTCTGATATGTAGAATTTTTCTGAGAACTGAAAAGACCCTAAGGGTAGTTAACCAAAGCGGAACAGTACTTGGGTACATATTCTCAGTATGCCTATGTCTCTTTGCCTTTCATAGGTACTGTTTTAACTTGAATTGCAAATGGAGGTGATAAAATAAGGGCGGGAAAGGAGAGAGGTGTGCCCATGTGCATGGGTGTGTATGTGTGTGTGTGTGTGTGTGTGTGTGTCTGCGTGCGCACATAACATGTGGTTTCCCGTGGTTTTGGAGAAGAGCAAATTTATGACAATGAATGTCAGTATCACATTTTCTGTGCTCAAAAATAGCAGTCTACCCTATAAAAATTAGGAAAGTGAACACTGCTGGGTAATACAACAGATTCTGACTTGAAATATATAAATTTTTTACTAGGGACCCCAAGATAGCTCTGTTAGTATTGGAAGAGTAAAGAGGCCCTTGGATAATATAGAGTATTACAGACTAAGGTTTTAATTTTCTTTCACTTTTTAAAATTGATTTCAGAAGAAGAAAAAGAGAGAGAGACATCCATGATGAGAGAGAATCATTGATTGGCTGCCTCCTGCACACCCCCTACTGGGGATTGAGCCTGAAACCTGGGCATGTGCTTTGACCGGGATTTGAACTGGTGAACTCTTCGTTTATGGGTCAACAGTCAACCACTGAACAACACCGGCCTGGTAGCAGATAAGATTTTTAAGGTGTGGTTCTTTCCTGAAGGGATTTTCTTATGGGAAGTTGGGAAAAATTCTTGAAGATTAATGAGGTTTTTTTCTCTTGGATCGTGGACTGCATTGCTTCCTGACTGTTCTCCAGGCTCAATGGCTCCCTCTTAGGAGTGAATGAGTAAGTATATACTTAGCAAACTTCTTTGAGAAAGGCTGCTGACCCTTGGTATAAGAAACCATGAGCTACAGGCGATGTGCGTTTAGCTGTCAGTTGTCAATCTGACTCATTTTTCAAAGAGAATGAATCACCCATTTGATTGACTCATGTAGCTCCATGGTACAAGGTGTGGTAGCACAAAGAGCACAGGTCAGCTTCAGGCACATTATGTACTTGAGTACTGAAATTGATCAGTCATTCTTCTCAAAATAAAAACACATTTATTAAGTACCTAATTGTATACATGACTTGAAAACATTCCGAATATGTAGGCTAACTATCAGAATAAATTAGCACTTGTTAAGGTTCCGTGGAACAGGTAAGATGTCTATTATTATAAAAAGGGAGGAGGCTAGCTATGTATTAATTGTCAGGTTACCAAAGCTCGGAGTAAATTTGGAAGGAATATTAAGAGTGGCTTCCCAGCAAGTGCTTGGTGTCTGGTTGAAAACTGGCCACGCTGCTTACTTGGGCACAAATGTGGTTACATTAGGCTGTTTTTCATGATAAAAGGTGTTTTAAGTTTCAACGCTCTAGAATCTGATGCTCAATATCCTGATATTGTATTCTTTTCTGTAATCAGAGTCATGGATAAAGAAATCTTCTTTACTATCCCCCAACGCCCCCCCCCCCCAAAAGAAATATATCTTCTAGCACTGAATGAGAATAGATTTGGGTATATGGCCAGACCTGAGTAGTATAGCCAAAGATTAAACAAGCTATTATTTTAAAAAATAATTTTATGCTTCAGCAGTTCTAAATTATTCATTTTTGCTTGCTATAAAAGAGCAAGGAAGCAAAAAAAAAAAAAAATTAGCATTTATCCAGTGCCAGTGTAGTGTGTCAGGCACTCATATACTCAGTCACATCAATCATCATTAAAATTGACAAGGAGCAGGTAATAGGTAATGTTTCCGTTTTTGTCAAGGAAGAAACTGTAGTTCAGAGACTGAGATGGGAATAGTCAGGTGTGCTTGCTCATGATCTTCCCATAAAATCACTTAGGCACAAACTGAAAAACTTGAACTCAGGTAGGATTAAATGAAATGCGACAGCTTCTCCTCTTTATTTTGATTTAGATATAATCTGTATCTGCATGGGGGCAGGGGTGGGGAGGCAAATAAAATCTATTGCAGAAAGATGCTTGTATTCTACAAATCTGTTGATGGAGAGAGGCAATAGGAAGACTGGGAAATGTACATTAAGCAACATGTCAATCCTGGGTCCTAATTTTTCTGAGTCCTGTTGATTTTTTAAAGTATTTTCAAGATGGGCATCAATGTCTTATAACCTGCAAAATGTGATGGTGCTGTCCTGTCTAGTTTTTAAGGACACTGTAAAGCTACCGAACAAGCTTTAAAAAGTTATTAGGAAAGTTGCTATAAAATGCAAAGATGGTTTATATTTTGGACCCTCACCTGTGTACCTAAATTACTTTGTTCTTACCTTAATTACCACATCTATCATATTGCATCCTAATCACTTCTCTACTCTCTGGTATCTTGACCAGCAGGTGGTTCCTCCAAGACAAGGGACCATGTCTTTTTTTATTGCAGTATCCATAGTAATCTAGACAGTGCCTGAAATAGAACAAGTGCTCAGTAAAAGTTTATTGAATAAACAACACAATAAAAGGATTCATCTTTTTAAAAAATATATATTTTCATTGATTTCAGAGAGAAAGGGAGAGAGAGAGAAACATCAGTGATGAGAATCGATTGGCTGCCTCCTGCACACCCGCTACTGGGGATTGAGCCTGCAACCCGGACATATGCCCTGGACGGGAATCGAACCAGGCCGACTCTCTATCCACTGAGCCAAACCGGCTGGGACAAGGAGTCATCTTTTTTTTTTTTTTTTTTCTTTTTTTTTTTTTTATCCTAGTCTCCTTATTTCCAAAATCAGGAGAGAGTAATATTTTCCTAGGTTGCTTATCAGGAGTGTCACAATACATGCTCATGTGCCGTTCCCTGGAGATACTGGCCACAAAGAAGGTATCATGATGATGATTACCAAAGGGGTGATTATTTTACATCACAAAAGTTTTATTCTGGCTAAAATCATTTTAAATTCTAGCCAATACATTTCAGGAGAGAAGCGCAGGGTGTTTGGGGTAATAGGTAGTCCTAGGAAATCTCCATCTCTGGGCTCTCCGGATGGAAGAACCGGAGAGGAGAGCAACCGCTCACTAGGTGGCTCCCTTCCCCGCGGGCGGGCGGGCGGCGGCGCGGGGCGGGTGCCGGGGCCATTGTGCAGCGGCGGCCACCCTCGCGCCGCGTCACGCACCACGGCCCGGGCGCGGGCGGCCGGAGCGGGCAGGGCTCAGCTTGCGTCTCGTTCACCATCATCTGCCTTTGGGACCGATTTCCAAGCAGCCCGTGCTCTCATTTCCTCCCAACGTACACCTGATGGTCCCAATAGGAGACATGGGTTGGTCCAGCCTCTTAGCAGATGCAACGTCAGGGGAGGGTCTTGCCCGTCCAGCCCGCCTGGGAGGCAGCGGGAAGCAGGGGCTCACGCAGCATGAGCCCATCCAACCCCTCGTGTGAACCACCCAGCGAGGAGGACGCGTCTGGAGGGTGGCACACATCCCAAAGGGCTTTGGAGAGCTGCTTACACCGCTCCGCGGTGCGCGGTGAAAATAGAATTTATGTCAAGTGCCTTCAAAACCAGTAGGATGACTTCCCCAGCGGCTTCTCACACACTCATCACGCCTGGCCCCATTCCTTATTTCTGTTTTACACAAAATACACAGACATTCAAAAAGATGTGTCCTAATGACAATCACCCCCACCCCCCCCGCCCCCCAGACGCCTTCCATCGGAACTTCGCGCCAGGATCTAGGGATGGTTTTGTTTTTAATCCTATTTCCCCCAACCCTTTCCTCCCCGACCCGAGAGACAGAGTGGCGAGTTCCCAAGCGCGGCAGACTCATCCGAGAATGGAGTTCTCCAAGAAGGGAGCGACTCGGTCTCCTTCGGATAACCCAGCGGGGCCTCCGTGGGGGGCACAACCTCCTCGGTTCTAAAAGATGGAAACCCACTTGTTAGCTTTGTAGGATGCGTTCCCTCTCGCCCTGGCCTCCTGGCGGCAGGTGGTGGCTCCGGAAGGCCGGAGGGGGGAGGGGGAGGGCGGGCTCCGAGGAGGCTCCGTGGACGAGGGAGGGGGCGGGGTGGGGTGTGGGGGATTCCCATAAGGGGGTCGACCCGCCAGGAGAAGTGGAATGTCCCTTCGGCAGGCAGGAGGGCGATCTCGGCTGTCGGGTGCCGTTCTCCTCCCTCAGGGACCCCGCCTTGGCGGGATCCCGCCTCCCCGAGCCCGAGGCTGTGGTGGGGAAACCCCTCGGCCGCCGCAGCCCAGCGCCGCCTCCGTGTTTCCCGACTCCGGCCCGCCGCCTGCCCGCCTTAGGGCCCTGCGTCTTCTTCGCAGGCCCGGCCCGCCCCGCGCAGGGCAGGGAGAGGGCACTGTGGAGGTGGTTCCCGCACTCGAGCGGGCGGAAAAGCCCACGGTGAATGCCTCGGGGTCTCCCCCAATGCTGCGGGCAGGGGGAAGGGAGGAGGAAACGAACTTCCCCGCCCGGGAGAACCACCCGGATTCCCAACCTAGGGGAGAGCCCTTTAGATGTCCGGGAAGCCGAGGGGAAACCCCGGGCACCTTCCCGGGTATCTATTCGCCAAGGGAGGGTCCACCGGTTGGCGCACATTGGTTACCATGACAATACTACAGCTCCAGTTTCCATGGCAGCTGCTGATCCAATCCAGTTGCCTTCCTTTCTCTTCTTCCCTGGGCTCCACCCCACCCCCTCCAACAGTCTCCCTGCGTGCGGGGAGGAGGGGCCGCGGAAAACAAGAAGGGGTCCTTCGTGTCACTTTAGGGCACGAGGGGAGACCAGAGTCCAGACTGGCGGGCGGAACTGTAGGAGAAAGGGGCGCCGTTTCCGGCAGGGAAGAGTGGAGGACTGGAACAAGGAAGAGAAGTCGGGTGGGGTTGAAAGACGGGGGAAGACTTTGAGTGTGACTCCCCGTAGATCTGGGCTCGATGGTCCCGGTGAGGCTGGGGTGGCCCCCTTGCGCGGGGGAGAGGCGTGGATTGGCCGGAAACCGCCCAGCCCCCGCAGCGGGCTACTCAGAGACCGCACAGCTGCCGCCCAGGTAGCTGCTCCCCCGAGGAAGCGGTACCGAGGCGGAAACCACCGAGGGGCCGGCGCCGCTGAAGTCTCGCGAGAGGGATCCCTACTTCCTTCCTGCGCTTCTCCTCTTCCCCCGCCCCTTCCCACCTCCCCCTGCCCCCCTCCCTCCTCCCGGGTCGGAGTGTCCCTGCGCCCCACGGGCCGGAGCTGCAGCGAGAGCAGCTTTCCCCGGTCCCTCCCCTTCGCCTCCCTCACCCCCACCCCCCCGCCGAGCGAGGAGGAGCCGGAGGAGAGGAAGATGGCGGCGGCCGCCAGCACCCGCGGGGCCGCGGGGCCGCTCCGAGGAGCCTGAGGAACCCTAGAGGCTTCGCGGGAAGACGCGGCGGCGGAGGATGAGCCTGCTGAGCGCGCAGTATCTCCGGTGAGTGCCGGGCCGGCCCGGACGGAGGGGAGCGGGCCGCGGGCTGGGGCATGGAGCCCCGGACTCAGAGGTGGTATATCCGGGGTGGCGGGGGAGTTGCTGTGTCCTCTTTCCCCGGCGGGAGGTGGGGCTGGAGGGTCCCCGCGTGAGGCGGCGGGGCGGGCGCGCAGGGGTGCCGAGCCCCTACGGCGGGCCGGGCTGGGTCCCCGCGAAGCCGGCTCGCCTCGGTGCGGGGAAGGTTACGGAAGCGGGAGCATGTGTGCGCGCGCGCTCGGGTCGCGGGCTCGCCGGGGAGGGCGCCCGGGGAGGCGGCGGCGGCGGCGACCCCGAGTGGAGGTGGGTGTGGAGGTGTCTGAGCCCCGCGGCGGGGGAAGCGCGGTGCGTAATCGGAGGACCGGGTGGCAATGTGCACACCTGGGATGTGTGGGGGGCTGGGGGAGGGGGGGCTGGAGGAGGGGGAAGCCGCAGGAAACCGGCGTGAGCGCTTCCTTCTCGGGCTGGGGGTGCCGAGGAATCCTGCCATCTGTAGTTAGTTGGCGGAGTGGGGGCGGGGGCATGCGGAGGGGTAGTGGATGAGGAAGTGAGGAGCGAGAGCGGTACAATGGACGGGCTTGGGTTCCCCTGAAGAAACTGGGTTAGAGCCCGTGTGGTCGGGAGACACCATTCTTTCAGAGTGGCGTAAGGACCTTGCCCGGCGGAGGTAGAATGACGCATGGATACAGTGTACGAGTATGAGATGTGCCCGGGGTGGAGTGAGGGGGGCGGGGGGCGATTGATACACATTTTAGGAGGCGGGGGGAAGGTGCAGACACATTGGAAGCAAGTATATGATTGGCGAGAGCATACTGAGTGGGAAAGACACCGGCTATTTATTGTGCACCCAGGAAGGGTCCATGGAAGCTGAATTAAGACCTTGGAGGTAGAGGTAAACAAGGGTCAGAATCTTGATGGCAGAGAAAAGTAAGGTGGTTACCCCCTGAGATTAATTGGGGGGGCTGCTGCTGTTTAAAAGGGGAAGGCGGGCTTTAAAGTTGGGTCCCTTTGTCTTTAGGAGCAAAACCCAGAAAGGCAGGCTTGCTACCACAAAGTGGTTTCATACCTTGCGGAGGAGGAAATGGGATGGGGTAGATGTCTGAAATGAGCAGAAAAGTCACTTTAGTTGTTTAGCGAAGTGAAAGTATTGATGGGTGGAATGCCAGAGTTTAACAGGGACAGGGATCCGCACAACATGTGTGCCCCATGACTTATATAGGGTAGTTGGAAGGATATGTATCAAGGCCCTTTTCTTCTCCTCTGATACCTGTTTATTGTTTAATATGTCAGATAAACTTAATACACCTGCGGGAAAGATCTGTGGTAGGTAGATGCTGTAGAGGGGTGGGTATGGAAACTGGTCATCAGGATAGTCCTTTTTAATTTTAAGGAATTCGCAGTTTAGTATACATTAGGCAAGTAAATAAGTAACAGCACAGGGTGAAAATGGGGGCATATAAGATGCCAGATGTTATAAAAGTCCAAAGGCAGGAGATTACTTGAGCAGTTGGTGGGAATCAGGAAAAATGTCCTTTGCTCATTTACTCATTCATACACTCATGAGTCATCATCAGTCATTTTGTTGATCACCTATATAGGAGACCTTATACCAGCTGCTATGAATAGAAAAGGAAGAACTCCACCCACTTCTTACAGAGTTTACAGTTTGTTAGGCTTCAAGGAGAAAATGGCACTTAAAATGGTCCTGAAGGATAAACAGTATCCAATAATTTATCCAAATTATTTATCTAATATTAAAAGTATGGGTTGAGAAGAATGGAATCCAAATGAAAGGAAACTGAGCAGAGATATGTAGATAGGGAGGTTGGGGGCTTGGAGAAGTGTTCAGTCCAGTTACACAAGAACATGCAGCTGGAAAAACATATAGTTTTATAAGTTTTACACCTTCCTTTTACAGATGAGGAAATATAGCCCAAAGAAGTTAAAATTGTTGAGGATTATATATAAGCTGGTATGTGGAAGCTCTGTAACTCAAATGTAGGTCTTTTAAGTCCAAATCAGCTGCATTGTGCAAAATGTCTGGGTTCATCCATTCTTTCCACAAATATGTATTGAGGCACTGAGGATATTGTGGTGAGCAAAATGAACAGATGAATAGGTTTATCAGGTGATGACAATACTAGGAAGAAAAATAAAGCAAGAGAGGGTGACCACTTGATAAGGTGCCCATATTTGAGAGGGTCTTGACTCTCATGATATATAGTTTATAGTTAAAATGAATGGGCAATAGAGAATCTGAGTTGATTTGTTTAGAAGGAAATTCACATGTTCGTAGCTATGTATTAGAAAGATGAACCTTTCTAGTGTAATAGGCAGTTAAGGCCAGAAATAAGGTGGTGGAAGTGGGACTAGAAAGGTATGATAAAAAGCAGATCGGCCCTGACTGGTTCGGCTCAGTGGATGGAGCTTGAGTCCCGGGTTTGATTCCAGTCAGGGGCATGTACCTTGGTTGCGGGCACATCCCCAGTAGGGGGCGTGCAGGAGGCAGCTGATCGATGTTTCTCTCTCATCGATGTTTCTAGCTCTCTATCCTTCTCCCTTCCTCTCTGTAAAAAATCAATAAAATATATTAAGAAAAAAAAAAGCAGATCGGGAGAGTAGGAATATTAATGGGAAGATCAATTGGCTTTGAGGGGCTTCTGTGTTAATATATATCTTATATCTTATATTTTGTAACTCATCATGGTCCAGAAGACTTATCCTTAAGATGTGAAATCAGTGGTCGGCAGCTGGAGATGAATTGAGTTCTTAGAAGAAGGGAGAAAGAATAAGAGTGAACGCAGTGTTTGAATAACCTTTATTTTCCAGCTAAAGTTGAACAGGTAAAATGGAGCTGGCATAAGACCTGGAGTCCCTTAGAGCAGCAGTCGCCAACCGGTGGTCTGAGAGGTCTGAAAGGTTGGCCACCGCTGCCTTAGAGGTTCCTGGGAGCCAATCTTTTCTCAATCTTGCACATCTGTCCTACGTAAATAAAGCAAGTCTTAGGGCTAATAGTAGTCTGGGGCAAGCCTTTCTAATAAAGAAAGGCTTCCACCAGCCCAAATGTTCCCTCTCCCTTTAAGGTAATCATTCTGTTAAAAGTTTGGTGTGGGGAGACTAGAGAATGTCTTCAGGGAAGCATTATGTTCACTTTTCTTTGATGAAAAAGGAATCGTTGGTTTTTATAGACAACTTAGAGAGGATGCTGAGTAGTGCCGAATGAGTATAGTTGAGGGTATAGCATTTATTCATTGTGACCTTGACTTTAGGTCTTGTCTACCTTTGTCAGTATAAGACCATGACTGGGCAACTTTTAAACTGCATAGCTACTGATCTTCCCCATGTAGATGAAAATTAGTTTTGTCTCAGCTGGATTAATTTTTAGAGCAAGTGAGCTCGGTGTCTCACATTGAAATGGTGGGGTGGTGGCAAACCAGGAGCAAGATGGTAGTTTCAAAAGCGTAAGAAATGAGGATATGAGGTAAGAAGCAGCAGTAAGACAAGGAAAGAAAAGGGATTCAACATCAAGTGGACCGAATTAGTCTTGAGTTGGTAGAAATAGAGCAGATTTGAAAGATAGGAATAACTGTTTTCTGTATGGGAAAGGAGTTGGTGATCTGGGCAAGAAAATATGAAACTTTTTTTTGTTAGAAGGAATGTGTCATTTAAAAAAAAAAATAGCGACTGACAAGACTCCTATCCAAATGAATAAGCTGAGAGTACTTTCCTACACTTTATAAAATAAGACATGGTCTTAAATATAGGGGTTCTAGACTGTAATTGGAAATTTATTACCCAATTTGAAAAAAAAATAGTATTTTTTCTTGATTTATGACAAAATGGAAAGATTTTTAAAGTCTAACACCTGTTGAGTAAAAGAAAAGGGTGTATTGAATATAGTTGATATGATAAGGGTGGGAGGAGGGTGAGAATAGGCCATAGATAAGATAGGTGAGGTATAACATCTTGCTTCAATAGAATAGCATTTGCAGTAATAGAAATATAGAAATTAACATGTCAGATTTGGAAAAGCGGAGGGTTGGGGGGGTACTACTGATGTACCAGACAGGGAAGACATCATCGAAGTTGTTTTGGGAGGTGAGAAAGTAGGACAGTCATAGCCATAGGGAACACCGGTCACATAGGACAAATCTTGTCAGAAAAGGCGGCACAGGTACCACTGCGTGACATCTGCTATCTTTGCAGGAGCCAACTGTTCATACTCTGTACCCCTCTAACTTTCTTCCTCTCCTTCACTGTGCTCTTCTTTTTGTCTTTAATTTGTTCCTGTGCTGTATGTTTTTCAGTGAGATCTACTTGAAGTTGATCCCTGGTGTTAGTCCCCTTAACACAGTGGTTCTCAACCTTGGCTGCACATTAGAGTCACCTGGGAATCTTTTTAAAATCCTGATTTCTGGGCCCCATCCTCTGGAAATTCTGTTTCTTTGTTACTAAAGTTGTGGCCCCACCCCATAACAAAGAAACAGAATTTCCGGAGGATGAGGCCCAGAAATCAGGATTTAAAAAAGATTCCCAGGTGATTCTAATGTGCAGCCAAGGTTGAGAACCACTGCCTTAACAGGAAAGGTCTACAAATTATCTGTTGTATTATTGTCATTTTTTTATGATACTTTAGTGAAGAGGCTGCATTCCAGTGGCACTTTCTTTATCAAAAACTTTGTTTCTTCCTCTAACCAGAGGTAGAAATAATAAAACAGCAACAAGGTTGATGTTTAAATACTAATTAAAATATTCAGTATGTTGTAAGAGAAAATATATCACTGTAAATCTTGGAACAGAAGGAGATGAAGGGAAGGGTTGAGGCTGGATAAAGCAGAACATTAACCTAGCCTGGGGAGAAGAACAGGGATGTTAGTATATATATTCCTCCATTTGGCCTGGGTATTCACCATCTCTGAAAACCAAGAAATCCTATAGCACATACTGATAATTCATGTGGTGAAGAA